GGCAAACCCCCTCTGAAGAATCTAGCCAAGAAAACCCCATGATAGTGTCTCCTTAGGGTCTCCATAAGTTGGGAAAGACTTGAAAGCACACAACAACAACCACAGTGCATCAGCAGCAGCACATGGTGCCAAGAAATGGTCCCAGACACAAGGCACCTCTCCCTGAGCTGAAAGAGCATGAGGAGCATTGCGCCCACCTCTTTGCTTTGCTTTCCCTTCTCTTTTCCCGCCTTCCCCATGCCATTCCAGGTGGGGAGTGCAAAGACAGTGGGGTGCCCAGAGGTCCCCACCACCAGAGGACAAGACACCACAAAATGGAGGACATTCCAGAAAAAAAGAAAAGCTCCAAACACTCAGTATAATGGTAAATTCATACTTCTCAGCCGTGCTTAAAATGGAGGATATTTTGGAATTAATTCTTCCTGTACAGAAGCCTGAAATGGAGAATATGTGCTGGAAAAGGAGGAGGGCTTTTGGTCACCCTCTTCTTAGTCCTGCTCCAAATGGTGGGCATTGTGGAACTCCTCCTGGAGAGGAGGCTGAAATTGATTGTGCTTGATTGGGAGTTCCTGCATGGCAGGGGGTTGGACTGGATGGCCCTTGAGGTCTCTTGCAACTCTAGAATTCTATGGAATGGAGGATAGATCTGGAAAATGAGGAGGGCCCTCTGGTCACCCCCTTCTGCTCCAAATGGAGGACATTTGGGATTTCCTCCTGTGGCAGAAGCTTGAAATGGAGAACATGTCCTGGAAAAGGAGGAGAACCTTTGATTACCCTCTCCTTAGTCCTACTCCAGATGGAGGACCTTTGGGAATTCCCTCCGGGAGAAGAGGCTGAAATGGAGGATAGATCTTGGAAGAGGAGGGGCCCTGGTCACCCTCTTCTTAGCCTTGCTCAAAATGGAGGATATTTGGGAATTCCCTCCTGGAGAGGAGCCTGAAATGGAAGAGAGCTCCTGGATAAAGGAGAAGGGCCCTTGGTCACCCTCTTCTTAGCCCTGCTCAAAATGGAGGGCATTGGGAATTCCCTCCTGGTGCTGGAGAGAGAGTCTGAAATGGAGGACAGGTCTTGGAAGAGGAGGGCCCCCTGGTCATTTGGGAATTCCCTCCTGGAAAGAAAGAAAGAAAGAAAGAAAGAAAGAAGCCTGAAATGGAGGTGCCCCTCTTCTTGGCCCTTGCTGCAAATGGAGGGTACTGTGGAATGCCTCCTGGTCCCTGGAAAGGAGGCTGAAACAGGAGGACCTCTGCCCAGCAATGCCTCTT